TGAGTGCTATAACTTGTCTGCTATAGGCTATTGCAAATTGAAATAGCCAATAGCAATTTAGCTATCAGTTCCTATGCCATTTTTTTGTTGTTGTTTTTTTATGACTGACGGTGGCCGGGCCCTGGTGTCATAAAAAAAAAAAGACAGCACGGAAAGGTTTACTCTGCTAAATAGAAAATGTTTCTCTCCCAGGCGGCCGGGAGCCGCTAATAGCGGTAGACTCCCGGCAACATCCGGGAGAGTTGAGATGTCTGTGCTAGCGACCCTAGATGGTACTGACGAGTATAGGAAATTCCAGTATCATCTAGGGTGCCAGTGCTGTGCGAACCCCTATGTGTCCAGTGAGTGCTCATTTTGAGTTTTTTGAACATTCACTCAAACCTGATTTTTTTTTAATTCATTCAGTATGTCACATTTTTATGACTTACAGTGACACTAAACTCAGGGGTTAAATCTTAAAAAGCATTCAAGTACTCTAATAATGAACACAAATGTATCTTATTTGTGTATCAATCTGGTGGGTGGCTACTTTTGTTTCCCGTGGTCCCTGCGTGTTGTAAAGTAGCCACTGCTCCCGTGATGGACTACAATCTCATGTTTAGTTTACTTATATGTATTGAGATTGTAGTCCATCACGGGAGCGAGATCTGAAATGACACACTGAGGCTGGAAATTATGTAGTTCACACCACTTCTGCTTTCAGTGCCCGGAGGAGAGATCAGCCACAGGAAGTGTGCTGATCTCCCTCCAAACAAGATACACAGGCCCACCATGCTGGTCCCGAGCCAGCATGGGGGACAGCAGAAGCCAGGATTGCTGGCAGCGGTGGCAGAGGGGCGCACACTCCCATGCACCATACAAGCAGTCAGGTGGCTCTATACCACAGCTAGAAAAAAATAAAGAAGATATACTCACCCAATCCTTGATCCCCCCGGGTGCTAGACCGGTCCCCACAGTCTCTTCTCCCCTGGGCTAGGTGGTCTAAGGACCCATGATGTCATCATGTCTAAAACAGGCCCATTAGATGTGAGGATGATGAGGGACATACCACAGCTAGAGCGGGAGAGAGGTGAGCACTAACCACTCCAGGACCAAGGACTGGGTGAGTATATCTTCTTTATTTTCGCCAAATCGAGCGCTTAACCCTTGCAATGCCAGGTAGCTTCACAGCAAGGGTTAATTTGAGGAAAAAAAACAACCTAGACATTGGTATATTCAATGGCCCTGAATCATTGTTTTTATTAATAAATCTCCATTGATTTGAACGGAGGACCAGCTGTGCTCAATTCCACTTGCTACACACATTGGCTACACATTGGAGGCCCTGCAAATGAGGATTTTAGTCTTAAATCCCCATTTGTACATGCTGACCCGCGCCCACTGCAGCCAAAAGCAGGGGCAAGTACCATTTGAATGAAGTTAAGATATTTTTATTTATATGCCCCTAATAATGCTACCTAATTATACATGTACGTATTCCGATAATAACAGTATAACGTTCTACCTTTTCTGACCCTATGCTAATGTGAACATCTCCCAGGCAACTATTTGTTCACTATCTTTGCGCCATTACAATCTTAAAACATGACATACTTTAATATCTGTCTATGAAATGTATGGTAATAACATGCTTTCATCTGATAAATGACGGGACGATCTGCCAGGAAATATGTATGTTGTCATTATCAGGCCTCCCCC